CTTCTCCATCATCTATAACTAATTTGAATTTTGGCAACTTGTTTTTGAAACCAGACGTCACCATATTCACTCCAAGTGGCTGTCGAAAAGGATTTTCATCCACTGCCATCTTTTTCTTATCATCGAACGTAATTTGTCTTAATTCAATGGCATCCTGTAACACATGGCGAAAAATCAAGTAATTGTTAGTCAAATGTGACCATGCATTATGCCACTTACAATATTTTTTACCCTTAATTTGTTCAGGGTTTGGCAATTTATGCTTATCGCTCAACTTTCTCTGCTTATCCTTATATAATTTATCAAATATAAGGTCAGCTTTGGTTACATCAAATGAGAACGTTCTAACTTTTATGTTTTCATCTTTTATAGGCTCATCCTTACCCGATGGTCTAGGCTTAGCCATTATAAGACAAGTATACGTGTCTCCTTTGACTAATTCGGCCAAACACATTTCGGTCTGATCGAATGACTCATTATTGATGGCATGAACATCAAAATTTGGGTCTCTATAATAAGTCCCCTTGTTAGAATTTTTTATTTGCTCTTCTTCTCTTATCAATCGTTCATGCCTAATCACGTTCGCGCTCAATTGGATAAGGTCAGGAAATTCCTTGTCTTGGAATTTCTTTTTCAAATCAAAGCTCAGACAACTTTGAGCGATTTTGACAAACTCTTTTTCGGGTAGAGGTACAAAACATTTACTTCTTGTTGTCTTGAACCTTTGGAGGAAACCTTCTGCCCATTCGTTTGGCATTTGACGTAGGTTCGTCAAATCGACCAAAGTAATTTCAGATTCAGTCTTATAAAACTGAGCGTGGAATAATTATTCCAATTGTTGCCATGTTTGAATAGAATTCGCTGGCAGATTGATGAACCAGGAGAAAGCTACTCCTGTTAATGAATTAGGGAAAAACATCATTTTATGATAATCAGTTACGTTACCACTTTGTAGTGTGAATCGTCCTATGTGTTCTAGAGTAGACACCTCCTCTAAACCGGTAAACAGTGAGAATTCTGGCACTTTATACCCTCCAGGCCATGGATATGCTTGGTCTATCCAATCAGGATATGACTTTGTGTAAGTCGGCCTAATGACAGGACATACCCCAAAAGTCATCTGGTCCTGTACGATTTTCATAATCTAATTCTTCAACATGACGTTGGGGTCATATGGAATCCCTACAGGTTGGTTGACCGGTTGATTTGCTTGAGGCCTGATATTTGGTCCTTGATTAGGAATAAAGTTACCATGATTTGGGCCATTGTTACCATTAGTCTGAACATTTATTCCCTCATTAACACGTGGGGTTTTCTGCCTGTTATTTAGGACATTATCTCTTGCATTTGGATTACCCCCAAGTTAGGCGTACCACTACCATTATTCTGATTTGGCATTACACCATTCCCTTGGTTTGAAGTAGGGGGACCGAATTGTGGTTCTACCCCTTGACTTGGATTTAGGACTGGGGGATTATGTCCCACAATTGTTCTAGTTTGAAAGTGGTTTGCAAGAGACGTAACTGGTTAACAAATTTGGCCTACTAACTTATTCATTATTTCATTCAAAGTATTCAGTTGTTTGGCCATGTTGTTATAATGTGCATTCCCATTTTGGGTAAATCTTTTCATATTATGAATATTTCGAAAATTTACCCTTTCAACGACATCTTGTGTGAGTTCTCCAAGCAGTGCACGCATAGTTCGAGGACTCAACTCTGCCATTGATTCGTAACGACTGTTACTACTCTGATTCTGTCTATCTGTTCGTGGAGAGCTATGCTGCTCCTCATATCGCTCGATCACAGGCTGGACTCCTCCTCGACTTGCTACTTCCTTATTGGATCTCTGAGGCATATTGTTTCACCTTTTGTATCTTCAACACCAAACATTACTGTCCCACCGGGCATGCCAAATTGTTTCTCGCGGGTTAGTCGCTAACAATTAAAAAGGGATCAAACGATTGTGTAAGGGATAAACCTCTTGAGACAAAGTCCCAAAAATGGGTGTTTTTATTGGCGATGACTTTACAATTGGAAAATAAAAATAGAATGCCTCCAAGGGGCGCAAGCACACGAGTTACTGAAAAAGAAATGTTTAAATCTAAACTAAAAAATTTAAAGTTACATATTCTCTGTTTGAGAGTGTTTAATTCGGGTGTTTTTTGCTCCATGTCTTTTCTTCCTTTTATACTCCCTGGATGATCTCTTCGTGATCAACCGCTTAAAAACTGCTTGATCGCTCTATAACTGCCCACTTTCCTTATAGTGGCCAACTTGTCATGGAACTGTCTTCTCTAACTGCTGCCATTACTTTTTGTCATTCAACCGTTTTCAATTGAATTCCTTGAATCGTGGAACGTGATAGGACTACCCAATAACTGCTTCATTAACTGCACTTTTGGGTAACCATAACATCTTATGTTTGCTAAGATGCTGGGTGACTCGAATGTTTGGGCGAGAGCAGGGTCACAGCTCTGGGCGACTACATGGCAATTCATTCGCTCAAATCTTGGACGACTTGCAACCTTGGACGATGGTATTACCGCGTTCATGGGCTTCCCTATTTGGGCATTTATCCTGCATTGCCTGATTGAGTTGTTCTTTGAGTTATTTGATTTTGGGGTCTTTCAATTGGGTTTTATTCCTTGGGCTATTCGACTTGGGCTGAACTTTTTGTGTGTCAACAATAGTAAAGCATTAGTGCAAGTTTTAGAATTTTGAGTGCTTATTATCGTAAAAAATAGCAACAATAATTATTAATATAATTAATTAGAATTTTAATTACTTTAGACTAAGTAACACTTAGGAGTTAGAATGTCAAAATTGTTATTTTAATGCAAAAGAAAAGCAGAGGAATAGTCAACTTCGGGCTGACCAAGAAAAGTGAAGGCCAGCCGCCAAGACCCGGCCCAGTCCCACCGACCAATTCTTGACCGCGTATGGACTGTCATATGTTCGTTAGAAGGGCAAATTCGTCAATTCAATTTTAAGGAAAGTCCATCGAAGTTTATCGGGCCTTTAATTCGGATAGACAACAGGGTAGATTGTGGAACCAGACCGATAATTTCTCTGAATAGAATCTCCTCTCCCTCTCTCTCTTGTTCGAGGGCCGTTTATTCTCTCTCCTCTGCACATGGAGAACAAAACCCAACCATCAGGTTCGTACAGCTGAAATTCGGAGTTATTTCAGTTTATTTGGAATTGAAATCGATTCTATTGATAGACTATATTGTTTTTAATTACTATTAGTTGTTGAACTAGGGCTTTTAATGTAAAAATTGAAAAAAATTACAATCCATCACGGCTATTTCTTTTACAATTTTAATATCTCTATGCGGGTTAGAATATCCCAGTGATCGAAAGTTTTGTTCCATTAAATTTCTCGACGCGAAGGGATGCATGCTTTCTGTTAACTCTCAAATTTATTGGCGAGATGTTTCAAAAAATGTAACTCTCTTTGATTTATCAAAATTTACGTGTCTTAATTTTCAAGTAGATTAGGCACGTTTGTAAATGGGAAAACAACGTCTTTTTAGCATTCTACTTTGATTTCCAATTTCGCAGCTTTCAAGACATTCTTTTGATAATTTTGGTCTCAGTGGTGTTACCTTTACTGATTTTCTTAACTCCTCCATATGCTATTAACTCTGTCTGATTCCCTATACAGGTAGCAGCCCTCCCCCAAAACCATGGGAAAGAGCTGGATCCTCTTCTGGACCTGCACCTTTTAAAGCGCCATCTGCTGGCAGCACGAGCGATGTAGTAGAGGCATCCGGAACGGCAAGACCTGGTGAAGTTGTTTCAGCGGCTGATAGGAATACAACAGTCAACAGAAACACACTTGGGAGGCCGGTACCTGCTAGACCATGGGAACAGCAGACTTACGGGAGCACACTCGGAGGTATCTATATTATTTTACAGCATTTTCTTTGTTCCCCCATGTTAAAGCCCATTTGGTTTCATTTTTCGTAATATTTTAGGATTCAACGCACATATCCGCTTAGGGAATCTGGAAAGCAACAAGTGCTTGAATAGAATGATTGTCCATAAAAAAATTAACCAAAAATATTTTCTTAAAACTCGAGCATCAAATTCATTTTTATGTTTTTCAGCATACTTGCCCAAATTTCGTATGGGTAGTGGAAAATACTCCCAGAGAACTTTCAAAAGTTATTTTTTAACTTAACATTATTGTGCTATCACCTGACTCTTGGATGTTACACTATTAAAACATTTCATTTGATATTAATTTAATCTATCCATGTGACATTTGATATCTTCATACCCAAAAAGAAAACGAGAAGACGAAACTTGATTTAGGAATAGTGATGATCTAGATCCACCACCCGCAAATTGATAACGCAAGAGAGCTCTCTTTTGATACAAATATTCACTTTCCTTATGGGCCATTTATACTGTGAATACCTTGATAATAGGACTTGGGTTAATTTTTGGATCGATCTTCACTGAGTTCACTCCTTGTTCTTGCTGAAGAATGTTACTGCCCTGGTGTTTAAAAATATGTCTATTACACGTCACTGACCTTTGTAAAGGCAAAAAGGCTAATGCGTGTACATTGCTCTGATGCATAAGCTTTTAGCCTTTGAGAAAAAATGTTTAGTTATTAAGAGAAGTTCGAAACCTGCCTTAATTAGGCACATGGCTGCCTACATACCAATGAATTATTTAATTGAATAGCTAAAATGATTGGCAAGTAAACGTACTTGCATGGATGCATGAGAGATTGGATGTTGTGAAATACCCGTATGTGAGCATTTTTTATATTTAGACTCGATTATTTAGAGTGAGAGATATCAAAGATGCTATTAACGGGTCATTTATGGCTACTAAGGGACGGAGTGCGTCTGTGGTTTTGTGTAATTTGCGAATTCCTATAAGGTTTTAAAGGAAATATTATTAGGACACCTACAATACTTGATAATATGGTACATAAATTGAGTGTGGGAGAGATTGTTAGGGAATTGTATTAAGACGAGACAAGATAAAGTGAGTAGGAGATGCATATTTATGAGTTAACTAAAGTGGAACTATTGATCATGTGCAATCCAATAAGACGGTTTGGGAAGTTCCAACATGGCAACATGGACCGCTAGAAGCACCTATTAGTAAACATGATGGGACTAGTAGTAATGGCAAACCTAGAGGAAAAGTTCAAACAAATATCACATGGATTGGGCTTAACTAGGGAGGATACAAACTTTTATGGCTTACTTTGGAGATGACCTTGATGGAGTAGAATGGAAAAGGAGGATATGAGTAGCCAGCCCTAGATGTGGAAGGGGGTTATGGTGCCAAAGAACTCTGATGAGGACATCGGACGACGTTTACTTATTTTATTTAAGTTTTATTTATTTTCTTGGACTATTATTTAAATTTGGACTTGTATGGGCTCGGGCCCAAGTTCGTTAGGGTTACTTTACTATTTAAACCTATTTTGCATTGTAATTTTCAGTTGATAATGAATGAATAATTATTTTGGTGGCTTATGGCACATCCCTTCCCTTCTTCTATTGAATTCTTCTTCTATCCCCTCTCTTAATTCTCCATTCTTTCTGAATCTTTCTTCTATTTTTATTAATCATCCTATTGGTGCTGCATCAAATTTGGTATTAGAGCCTAAACTTGGGTAATCTCTCATCTCCAATCCAAAAATCTCTTCCTATTTCTTTCCTAAAAACTTGTGGAACAGTACAAACAAATAAACTTTTAGCATGAGCAGCCAAGTTATTATTTTTCCAGCTTCTTCATAGTTGTTCCCAAAAAAAAAAAAAAAAAAAAAAAAATGTTCAAACTTTTCATGGGTACTATTCACACCCAAAAATTCATTTTTCTTGTATTATCAGCTTTAAAAAAAAAGTTACTGTTCACAAAAAAAAAAAAAATTCTCATTTTTTCCCTACTGCTGTTGCTCATAAATAAAAAAAATGGTTGTGGTGTTGTTCCACAAATTCCAAACCCTAGCATTCAAGCCTACTTAGCCCTTCAGCCCATATATTCCATCTCTATAACCTACTCCATTCATTTTTTTTATCAAAACACTTAGGCTATAAGCAAGTGGCCCAAATTACTCCCAAAGCCCACTAAACGCACAGCCCATCTCTCATCATCTATTTAGCCAATCTACTTGCTTTTCAGTCCAATAAACACTAAATCCAACCCACTTATCACATATTATCACAATCGGCCCAACGCCATTTAACCCATAATCAGTCCCAAATATCCAACCAAGCCCGATTATAACCAATTCATTAACATCAAATACCCCACAGTTTCACCCGATTTCTCTCTCACAACCACTCTCTTGCTGCTGTCGCCTCTAATCACCATCACGCCACCACTTCATTATCTATTGTA